TGATACTTATAAAAACGTCTTTTTCGTAGAAAAGGCTAGAGGCTTTGATTTTATTTGTTTGAAAGTGCTATTGTTTCACTATTTAGCTAAACCTCCACTCTGAAAACATCTTTGCTTAGATAATCGAGTCCACAGATACAATTCCAAGTTACTACAGAACATTAGAAGTCAGAGGGCCTGGAGAGGATGACACCGGGAACCCCAGAGGCACTCAGTGTAGCAGAAACAAGCCCACGCAGCACCCCTGTTTCAGCCAGGGCCGGCTGTTTGCGGGGGCGGGGCTTCACACAGGGTTGCTCACTCATCCTCTCTGCACGTCATCTCTCTCGTCTGTAGAGTGGGACTGCAAATCATGTATGTGAAGGCAGGCATCTCGAAAAGTTGAGGAATTGTTATTATGTCACAATGAATAGAATACTGATGCTAGTCGCCCTTCTACTTTTGAAAAAATACAAAAAATAATGCAACCTATCTCCTTCCTGGCCCCACCACGCACATTAGCAAGTGCGTTCTGTTACCCAGATGCAATGCCTGAAGCTTCTTATTAAAAATGAATTGAACACAGTTATTAATCTTTTTAGGGTATGTTGAGTTCTAAGCACTACTGAAAGAGAGAAATGAAGCGGAAGGGTGTCTCTTCATTGCAGTGAGAAAAGCTCTAAACTGCCTTCTGGGACTTGAATCCTGAAGAAAGTCCCGGGCTATATCCTCTCGGTGTGAGAGCCAACTGGAAACAGGAGCACGTGTATTTACCACGATGTATCCCATGGATGTCAAGTACTATGCGTTGGGTGTGTGTGCAATTAGAGGGAGATCTAAAGCCCAAGAACTCTCAGAAACATTGGAAGAAATGATCTCTTGGGATCTTTCCTCAAAAGAAATACCAGGAATCCAAGATCAGCATTATATGAGATTAGAGTCTCAAAGAAAAGAGATTCCCCTTGTGTTATTTCAGAAACAGTATCACAAGCAAATAGGAAGGAGTTTTGGACGAATAAAATGATGATATATTTTTCTTAAAATCTGAGAAATACTGACAAGGTGAGCACTCTAAAATGAGAGCTGTACTTGAAATGAAGTGCTGAGGGTAGAATCTGAACTGCAGAGATTTACAGAGGGCAGAGTTAGCCTCTTGTGCCTTTATTTAGGTTAAAAGGGAAGCAGAATTTAGGCTTATACAATGATAAAATGTATCTATTCCCTGAGGGTCCATCCTAACCCAGGAAGCAATAATTATCAGGTTTACTTTAATAGTTGTTTATTTAAATTAGAACAGCCAGCACCATTAATATTGGAGGTACTATTTCATACTTTTCTAGCAATTTTTTCTATGGGAAGCAATGTTTGGTTGGGAAAAAAAAAATGCATGGAATATGGAGTCAGATGATCCAAATTTAGGCTCAAATTCTCTCTTTATTGCAAGACTGGAAAACAAAATGTAGGTCCTTTTCTCATTCTTGACTTCATGTATCCGCTGAGCTAGGATAATCTCCACCCTCAGAGACAGGTTGGGAATCTAAAGAGAGTCCCTTTGCAACCCTGGTTTGAGAGTCGTTAAGCTCTCTCTATAGCATGAGATGCAAGCTGTTTCATTTTAACTCGCACACAGACTGTGAGGCTGTTCTACAGAAGGGAATCTGAAGTTATGAAAGGTCCAGCGGCTCATCTAAGGACACCAAGCTTGTGTCACAGTTAAATCTCTGTCTGCAGCCATAATGTATAGTATAGCGACTGATGCATAGCATAGCCCTTCACGATCAGTGGCCACAAATCTATTATGGTAGACTTTTATTTCACTCCAGTCCACCTTCCACCCCAGGGAGAACGTCGTAAATCTGACTAGCTCCCTCCCCTGCTGAGAGTCCCTACTGCAGATTCTAATATCTGGATGCTCCTACCTGAGGGTCCTCCGATGTGTTCCCAGGGGTCTACGAAATTCCTGAACCTGTAAGTAGTTATCATAATAATTACAATTTGTAATTGTCAATTGAAATTTTAGGTACCTCTTTTTGGATGTCATTCTCTGCCAAAGGGAGTTTAGCTCATCAGATTTTCGGAGCCGTCTGTGGTCGCACCCGGGCCTATAGCTCTGGTCCGCGGGGGCCCTAAGCACGTCAGTGTGGCATGGTCGTGATTAACGGCCTCCCTCTTCAGCCACTTGCAGATTTCCCCTTCCGCACCCACCTGCTCCCGGCCTCTGACCTTTTGCTCCTCTCACAGTTCCCCACTTGAGCCCAGCTACAAGCCTGCCCAGCCTCTTTATCACTGGAGTCATCACATTTAAAAAGTTCTATTTCATGGACTGCAGAAGTACAGTTGCATACTGTAAAATAAAGAAACAAACTTAAGAAGTGAAAGCCCGCCAGGATTCCAACCCCAGAGATAATCCCTTTAATGCTTGAGTATATCTCCTTTCAGGCTTTTTTTCTGTCTGCGTATAGATCCGCAGATAACTAAACTGTGCTGCCTTTACAAAAATGACACTTTCACTTAGATGCTCTAATCCTGGATCCGTTTATTTCGTAATGTGGCAAGGTCTTTGCATATTTGTACATAGAGATGTACAATGTTTTTTTTTTAAAGCCTGTTCATGTTTCATTGTATGTATCTATCATTGTGTATTTAGCCGGTCTTTTACCAGTGGGTGGATAATTACATTATTCTTTTTTCTCTGAAACATAGTTTCTGTGACCAGCCTTGGTCATATAATTTTATGTTCTTGTATGAGTATTTCCATAAAATGTTCCTAGAAGTGCATAGCATATGTGCAATGTAAAGTTTAATAACACTAGCAAGTCATTCCTCCAATGTTCATATCTACAGACAGTCCTACCAGGATGGTATGCTTTTTAATAACAAACCATTTGTGTATGTCTCTCACCCCCACCCCCCACCCCCAGTCTCTGTCCTCTCAGAGGCAATGGCTGATACACCTCTGTGTCCCTCCCTGATGCTTACAGAGGGTACAGAAAACAGACATGAAGAATTAGTGGACTAACTAAGAAGCACATGAATAAGTGAGTGAGCCGTAGCTCCTTTAGCTCACACCAGGCAGGCATCCTTTGCAGTTAAGAGGAGGCCCTAAGTTAACATTTAACGTCTGTTGAATAAATGAGTGGGTCTAAGATGGGCTCTTGTCCTGGCTTTATTGTCATTAACCGTGCCCTACATTTTTGGGGTGTCAATTTTCTTATCTCACAGTGAGTAGACTGAGGTAACGATTCTTCAGATCCTGGCAGGCAGCTCTAATGTTTGTCTGTCACCTGCCACATGTCATGATTTACTCACTGCTTTGAATCTCCAATCCAAATTGTCCGACAGTGACATATAGTCCCAGGGGTGAGGGTAGTGACAAACATATAAAAGTCTTGGCATTTTCAGCCTTCTGCACATTCGTACTCCAACTTTCTGTGTATTTTTAAAATTAAAAAACTTAAAAATGGATGATAATTGTAGAGAAAAAGCCAAATAGATACTAAATAGCAATTTTACGTATGTTTAGAAGGCAGTTCATGCCTTAGATATCACACAAATAATCAATGTCCATCTTGGAGGTATTGAAATAAATGTTGGTAGTAAGAATAAAATATATTTGGCCCTGACTGGGTTTGGCTCAGCGGTGTCGAACGTCAGACCAAAGGGTCTTGGGTTTAACTCCCGGTCAAGGACGCAACGTACCTGGGTTGCAGTTTCAATCCCTGGCCCGAGTCAGGTTCATTCGGGAGGCAACAAGTTGATATGTGTCTCTCTCACATCAGTGGTTCTCTCTCTCTGTCTTTCTGCCCTTGGGGGAGGATTAACGCCCCCCACCCCTCATAAAAGAATGAAGCATTTATACAGGAATTTGTACTTTACTGGATTTTCACATCCAAGACCTCATTTGGTACAATGAAGATAACTGGTGAATGAATATACATGTTTTGTCGAACTAGTTCTTGTAAACAATTCATGGCAGAAGAAACTCTCGGTTGACAATTAAAGGATGAATAACATGAAGGAAGAGCACCATGCTCTCACCTCTGCCCCGTAGCCATGGTAGACATCATCAGCATCTCTGAACCTTTTCTAACAGTCTTTCTCTTTTTACACCCTGATTCAAGATGTTGGAGCGCAGTATTGGAAATGGTCCAAGCCATCCTATAGCAAAGGAACAATATTCAATTCCCTTTTATTTACACAGCACAAAGCTATTTTACATCTGTCCTTTCTTCTTTCTCTACTTACTTTGGACTCCCAGTCGGTCACCTGACACTTGATTCCCTTACTTTGCTAGAATTCTGGCTCACCCACGGATCACAGCCCCAGCCCGGTGTCGACACTGCCGGTTTGCCTTCCCCATTTGCTGTCTAGCTGGTTGCAGTGCTGGTAGGAAAAACATTACTCAACCTCCTCGACGGGAACACAAGGCCCTTCACTTTCTGGACACCTGTATTCAATAGATGTGTTTCATTTTCTACCTCAAATGTTATAAATAGTCCAGAAAGACACAAGTGCAGGAGCTCCTTGTGCCACCTTAATGTGAGAAACTTCTTTTAGCTGAATGAGTCCTAGTCTCCGTCACCACCTGTCTGCTGGAATTCTTCCTCCGGCTACGTGAGAGGTTCCATTTGCACCTCACAGTGCACTTTCTACAGCTGCTTTGCCTTTAGTTATTAATTTGCCTTTATCTCTCATTTTACTATAAGAGGGAGACAATGTATTTATCTTTGTAACAAATATATGACTGGTACGTAGTGACTCCTAGCAATGACTGAATGAAGTAGAGTCTTACCGTTGTAAACATGGATTTCTAAAGCCTGATTAGATAACTTCTGTAGATCAGACATGTGAATAAAGTGTTGTGTCCAAGGTCAGTTACTGAATGACTGATGAAACCAATTCTAAAACCAGGACTCCTAACAGCCATGCCCTTTGCATTTCCTCTGCAGTGCAAACAGTACCTGTTGTCATGGTTGGTGTCTAAATTGCGTTGAAAGGACCATGTGTTTTCTGCTTTACAGGGTGGACAAAGTGGGTCAAAGGGGCCTCCGGCGGTCACCCCCTCCTTCCGCCCTGAAGATGAGCTGGAGCATCTGACCAAGAAGATGCTGTATGACATGGAAAATCCACCTTCCGATGAATACTTTGGTGAGTGGGTTCTAGAGCTGACTTCTGCAGTAAGTGCCCTGTTCTGTTTCCCTCAGTTAGTAAGTAGTAGTATCAGCTCCGATGGCAAAGGACTGGAGGAGACCGGATGCGCTGGAGTTGGTATTCGTGTGCACACAACGAAGTGTTCTGGAAATTGCTTTGTGAGAGACTGCCTTAAGTGTGATATCTGTTTGGCTTGTGCTAAAATCTCAGAGGTACCACAGAGATTCATGAGACACAAGTTTGATTTAAAACTTAGTTTTTGGAAAAATTGTAATGTCTTATTAGGTAGAAATAGGGCTTTTATGTATGTTCAGGTCAAAGATTAATATGCAAAATGTAGAATCGGGTAGTGTCTAAACTCTGGGCTCTCAGTCCTTTCCCTATCCAAGTTCAGGAAGATGCTCCCTTTATATATCTTTTAACTTCGCCCTTCTCCAAACCTGTGAATAATTATGAACAATTAATCCATCCAGTCCATCAGTGTAATGTGAATTTATAAAATGCATGCCAATTATAAGGTGTTATGGATACATAATTTGCCCTCAGGGAGGTTGCAATTATTCAGAAGAGATAAGAAAAACAGAAGTAATTACTAATCTAGGTAAAATGTTATAGAGGTTTGAGAGAGGCTTGCTTAGGCCAAATGTTATAAGAGTTTAGAAGCTCTCTTCTAAAAAGTAATAATGCCAAGTATATATGCTTCAAATATCATAGCAAAACCCTTCACCTGAACATCGGGAATGCTTTACTGAAGAACTGGCAGCTCTTGAACCCGGACCCTTCAAAGCGGTGCTGCTCTGGTCTTTTTGTTATGAAAGACTCCTGCCCAGTCTGTTGGAGATCATATTTTTATAGATTACGATTAAAATTAGTTACTAAGAACATAAAATTTACAAAAACAATATGGAAGACCAAGTTTTACCACTATTAGATTTAACAAGGATACATTATTAAATTGCTGTGGTATTTTCTGAACACTCTCTGTGCCTGGCTCACTGCAGGGTGACACACATTGCTTACACACCCATCCATCGATCTCATTTTGAGTAGTGCTGCTTTAAGGACATGTGGAGAAAGGGTACAGCATTGGGGGAGCATTGGGGTAGAAAGGCACATTGCACGGGGCTTTTACTTGTCCAAGCATTTCCTGTTTGCCTGTCTTCCCACTCGCTGCTTATGTGGGAACATGTATTGAAAGGTAAACTGAAAGCACTGGTCCGAAGCCGCGTAGTAGGTGGACCAGGTTAGGATGTGGAAATCATGGTATGTGTTTGTATGCAGACGGCAGCGTAGCTTAGATGAAAGAGCAGGAGAGTGAGAATGAAGAGTCCTGGTGCTGTCCCTCTCTCCCCTCGCTGACTAAGCAGCATTGCCATCTTTCCGATCTACTCGAACCCTGTTTCCCACTTTGATAAATCAAATGTCCTCTAGTATTTCTTTCTACACTAGTAAGATCATGTGGAAACAGCATCAATCCAAACAAATAGAACAATGCTAAAAGCTAAACATAAGTTGATATAGATTAGCACAAAGGCATGGAAAACAGTAAACAAAAAGTCTCTATTTACATTAAAACATACTGTAAATATATTATGGTCTTGTCAGTAACATGACAGAAGGGTTTATATTGGAGTCTGAGATTAACTTTTTTTAAATGTATTTTATTTTATTTTGTTAAATTGATTTTAGAGAGAGAGGAAGGAAGAGAGAGAGATAGAAACATCAATGAGAGAAAGATATCAACATCTATCGACTGCCTCCCTCACGCCCCCTGCTGGGAACCAAGCCTGCTAGCAGAGCATGTGCCCTGACCTGGAATCGAACTAGGAACCTCTTGGTGAATGGGTTGATGCTCAACCACTGAGCCACACCAGCTGGGCTAAGATACTTTGTAAAAAGCATGTTAAAAGTGAAAAATATGTTCTCAACATTGAGGCTTATTAAAAATGAAAAGTAATAATGCCAAGTATATATGCTTCAAATATCATACAAAAATACATAACAATAAGGAAAATTGTGTTAATCAACATATATTAAGCACATTGGGAAACAAATATAAATCAACTTTCATATTTGCCTTCAAGAACTGTCCTAGCTCTACTATTTTCTAGCTTAGACAACTTGAACAACTTGCTTACTCTCTCTAAATATTTGTTTGTGTTTTGCATTATCTATAATGTGGAAATAGTAGCTAGCTTATACTATTATTGTATTGACTGAAATATTTATAGAAAGCACTTAGCCAAGTTATTTTATTTTATTTATTTATTTTTTAATACTCACCCTAGGATATTTTTCCATTTATCTTCAGATAGAATGGGAGGAAGGGAGGGAGGGAGGGAGGGAAGGAAGGAGGGAGAAAAGGAGAGAAAGAGAGAGCAAGAGAGAGACATTGATGTGAGAGGGACACATCAAATGGTTGCCTCCCACAGACCCTGACCAGGGCCAGGGATGAACAGCAACCAAGGTATGTGTGCCCTTGGCCAGAATCAAACCCGTGACTCTCTGGTCCGTGGCCAATGCTCTAACCACTGAGCAATCCAGCCAGGGTTCTCAGCCAAGTTCTTGGCATGTAAAATATGCTTAATAATCAAAGTTATCTCATACTTTAAGAAGACAAGATATGCTCCCTTAAAATTAATTAATAATACTTGATTTAAGTTTCTATCAAAAATAGAACATACGTCACCGATTGGTAAATAATCATTGCCAAATGATGTTTACAACCCATGAAAAAAATGTGGAATGACGATTAACTTTTATTGAGTGATTACAATATGACTGCATTATTTTATGTACTTTATGAGAATTAACTTATTTAATTCTTACTGAAAAATATATACAACAGCTAATGCATTTCAGGGCTGGATTAAATCCAGGCTCCAGGTCTATACATTTTTTTTCTTTTCAAAGATTTCCCCCCACCTTTATTGAGATATACAAAACAAAACAAAACAAAAAAACTGCACAGACTTAATATATACAATCTGATGGACTTGACATATGAATGCACTTCTATTGCCATCACCACAATTCAGGTTACAAATATATCTGGCGCCTCCAGAAGTTTAGGATGGGTATTTAGAAAGGTTTTATGGAGAACAACAGCTTTGGACAGTTGGAAAAGAAAAGAAGGTATTCTCTCCAAGTAAATAGAATGAACAAAATATGACTTGAGGCCAGGATTATTGAAGAAATGTTTACTTTATGTAGAAAACAAACACTAAGTGCCTATTAGGTGCAGGTTAATCTTCTCAGTGTTAGAGACAGATGGAGACATGTGTGGGTCTTACCTTTAAAGGTGCTTATAGTCTAATAGCAGATGCATACAGAGTCATGGTGTTTAATCATAACTCAAGATAGAACATGACAAGGGACTTTAAGTTCAGCCAAAGTTCTCTGAGAATTCAGAAAAAGGAGAAAGGACGTCCCAAGGCAAGAATGGAAAAATGTTTATGGAGTAGTTAGCCTTTGAGTCAAGTCTTTAAGATTATCCTAATAAAGATTTGCAAGTAGGACGACATTATAAAAATGATGTCATTTCTGATCAGGTGAATGTTTAACATATAGGGAATAAAACCACTGGAGAGAATCACCTGTGTTGAAAGGAACAAATACTGGGAAATAAGATTGGAGAAGTAGGTTGGGAGCAATATGAAGAAGACTTTTATTGTTGTTTTAATTGTTATTTTTTAATTACAGTTGTCATTCAGTATGACTTTATATTAGTTTCAGGTGTATATCACAGTGGTTAGACAATTATATAATTTACAAAGTGATCCCCTTTATAATTCTAATAACCACCTGGCACCGTATGTAGTTATTACAATACTATGGACTATATTCCCTATGCTGTACTTCACATCCCTGTGACTGTTTTGTAACTAGCAATTTGCAGGTCTTAATCCCTTCACCTTTTCACCCACCTCACAACCCCTCCCATCTGGCAATCTTCAGTTTGTTCACTGTATCTATGAGTCTATTTCTGTTTTGTTTGTTTATTTTGTTATTTTGATTCCACATGTAAGTGAAATCATATGATATTTGTCTTTCACTTATTTCACCTAGTATAATACCCTTTATGTTTAACCATGTTGTCACAAATGGTAAGATTTCATACTTTTTTATGACTGAGTATTATTGCATTGTATTTATGTACCACATCTTCTTTATCCACTTGTCTATTGATGAGCACTTGGGTTGTTTCCATGTCTTGTCTTTTGTAAACAACACTGCAATATATAGTGGTGCATGTATTTTTTTTTTGAATTAGTGTTTTGGATTCTGTCGGGTATACACACAGAAGTGGAATTGCTGTGTCATAAAGTAGTTCTCTTTTTAATTTTTTGAGAAACCTCCATCCTGTGGAGAGGACTTGTAATGCTTGACTTTCTAAAGGCTAGAGAGTTTATCTTACATAATGAAACTGTGCACATTGAGGTCAAATGCTATGGGAACTGTTCCATCAGTAATGGCTAAGAATGTGGGTTCCAATGCCTTGATTCAAATGTCAGTTCTACTATCTCTTACTGGCTAGGTAAAAGCAGAAAGCAAAGGATGAGTGAACGGAACTATTGTTCGCTGTTCCATTGTAAACATTCAACACTTACTGAGAACATTTTCCATGCCTGCCGCTGTGCTGGGTATCGGAACATCTAGATGTAGAGGCTCTGTCATCGCTGGGTCCATGAGTTCCTGGGTGGCCAGGCAAGAGGCAGGGATGTCAGTGCAGATTATCAGCAGTGTTGGGTCTTCCAAAGCCTATGCTAGAGTAGAAGACGGAGTCCATAAGTCTGCCTGGAGATGTAGAAAGGAGAGCTACCTATCAGTGTGTATGTAGGAGGACTTGACCCAAGGGAGGTGGATGAAAGTCCTCTCTTGCCCTCTATGAGAATTTTACCTTAGTTCCACTCTGGGCTGGAAATAGCATTGCCAAGTTCCACTCTAAGAGAACTTCAAGCTCTTGCATTATCATCCCCAGCCCCACCTAACCCCAT